TTGACCTGGGGGGAAAATGTGACTCGGTTTATCCGCGCCCTCCGTTAGCCGCACGCATGCGCCCCGCGCGGCGGCGCGAGGTGCGGCTCGCGCGCCCCCCCTCCCCCGCCCCCGCTCCCCACCTCGCACCTTCACACCCAACTGCCCCGCGGGCCTCCCGTCCTAGGAACCCTTTATGGGGAAGCGGTTCTGGCCCCCCACCCCCCCGTTAAAGAGGGGGTGCATGTCTGCTTTAGCATTTACCCGCCCCCCCCCCCTCGCGCCTCCCGGGGTGCGCCCCGGTCCGTCGGGCTGAGAAGGCCAAGGGCAATTGCGGGTGGTCCTTTGGCCCCAGTCGCTCTTTGGTGATGAAAACCCAGTGCCTGTCCCTCCATCTCCGGGAAAGGGCTCTGGGGTTTGGGGGTTGGGAGTATAAAGGCTCCGCTGCCTGGAGCGCCCCAACAGAGCACAGGAGTGTTTTCAAGGGATCTTCTCCTCTGAACCCAATTATTTGGATCCCCACCCAGGGAGCCTGGCCTTCGTAAAGGGTTGAGTCAATAGTGACAAGGTTTTTGAAGGGAGAGAGAGAAACATCAATGATGAGAGGGAATCATTGATCTGCTGCCTCCTGCACGCCCCCCACTGGGGATCAAGCCCACAGCCCCAGCAGGTGCCTTGATCAGGAATTGAACCGGGACCTCCTGGTTCATAGGTCGGAGCTCAACCACTGAGCCATGCCAGCTGGGCTGCATTGCTTTTGCCTGAGCTCCAAGGGCCCGTCTTTAGCGTTTGTAACTTGTTTCCTGAGCCTACGCAGCCCAGCCCGCTCACGTCTACTACCTTTGTAACTTTCTAAATAAATTTTATTATTTGAAAAAAAAAGAAAAGAACATATTGAATGATTCCGTTTCTATACAGGTCAAAAACAGGCAAACTAATGTATGTTGTCCTAAGTCTAGATTGTAGTTTCCCTTTGGGCTTCTGTGACTGGAAGGGACATCAGGACTTCTGAGGTGTGTTCTGGGATTAGGTCTGGGTGCTGTTAGCTTTGTAAAAACAATCATCCAATGAGACATTTTCCCATATATCTTTTACTTTAAGAAGTTTTTAAGAAAAGAAAAAACAAAAACCTGAAGTATTAATTTGTCCTAGTTACCCACTATTCAAGATATATTTGTTTTATTTTTTTGTTACCTTTTTAAAAAATTCTCGCCTGAGGATATTTTCCCATTGATTTTTAGAGAGAGTGGAAGAAAGAGGGGAAGACAGAGAGAAATACTGATGTGGGAGAAACACAGAGGTTGGTTGCCTTCTGCATGCGCTCTGACCAGGGCCTAAAGCGGGGGAGGAGCCTGCAACTGAGGCCTTGAGTAGAATAAAACCCGGGATCCTTCAGTCCGCAGGCCGATGCTCTATCCACTGAGTCAAACTGGCAAGGGCCACATAAACTCATAATCATCTACACCAATAAAAGAGAAACATGGTAATTGGCGTACGACCGCTACCCTTTTCATTGGCTAATCAGCGAGATATGCAAATTAACTGTCAGCCAAGATGGCGGCTGGCAGCCAGGCAGCTTGAAACTAACATGAGGCTTGCTTGCCTCAGTGACGGAGGATCATTGGAGGAAACCAACGTTCCCCGCCTGCGGCTGCAGGCCTCTGAGCGGGCAGTTTAAGAAACATTGTAACAAATACCGCCGGACTTCAGCCAGCAGATTCTCAACATTGTAAGCAAAGGCCAGAAACCTACTTTCAGCCGCGGAGGCCTAAGAGCTGGAGCCAAGCCTCAAGGTAAAGCTGGCCCAGAATAAAAAAAAAGAAAAGAAAAAAAGGAGCAGTTGGGAACTTCAGTCACTCCCAGCCTGAAAACAGCCCTCAGCCCCTCACCCAGACTGGCCAGGCACCCCAGTGGGGACCCCCACCCTGAAGGGTGTGTGACCAGCTGCAAACAGCCATCATCCCCTCACCCAGGCTGGCCAGCCACCCCAGTGGGGACCCCCACCCTGATCCAGGACACCCTTCAGGGCAAACCAGCCGGCCCCACCCATGCACCAGGCCTCTACCCTATATAGTAAAAGGGTAATATGCCTCCCGGCACCGGGATCAGCGTGACAGGGGGCAGCGCCCAAACCCCCTGATCGCCCTGCGGCTCTGTGTGTGACAGGGGGCGGGGCCCCAACCCCCTGAGCAGCCCTGCTCTGTGCCTGAAGGGGGGAGCTCCCCAACACCCCCCCTTGGGCCCTGCTCTGTGTGTGATGGGGTAGAGCCATAACCTCCCCATCGGCCCTGCCCTGAGTGTGAGAGTGGCAGCACCCCAACCCCCTGATCAGCCCTGCTCTGTGGGTGATAGAGGGCGGTGCCCCAACCCCCTGATGGGCCCTGCTCTGTGTGTGACGGTGGCAGCGCCCCAACCCCCTGATTGGCCCTGCTCTGTGCGTGACAGGGGGTGGCACCGCAACCTCCCCATCGACCCTGCCTTGAGTGTGACAGGGGACGGTGCCCCAACCCCCCAATTGGCCCTACCCTGAGCGTGACTGAGGGTGGCATCACAACCTCCCAATCTGCCCTGCTCTGTGCATGACGGGGCAGCGCCCCAACTCCCCAATCGGCCCTGCTCTGAGCCCGACCAGGGGCTGCACCTAGGGATTGGGCCTGCCCTCTGCCACCCGGGAGCAGGCCTAAGCCAGCAGGTCGTTATCTCCCGAGGGGTCCCAGATTGCGAGAGGGCACAGGCCGGGCTGAGCCCCCCCCCCCCCCCCCCAGTGCACAAACTTTTGTGCACCGGGCCTCTAGTCCTATATAATAAAGAGGTAATATGCAAATTAACTCTCATGCCCTCACAAGATGGCTGCTACAACCAGGCCGGCAGGGGGGTTAGTGAGGGACGACCAAATGACTAAACAAGCAGGCTGCGTGGGGTGACCAGGCTGGCAGGGGGTTTAGTGGGGGACGACCAAACAACTGAATAAGCAGGCTGCGTGGAGCGACCATGCCGGTGGGGGGGCGGTTGGGGACGACCAGGCCAGCAGGGGGGGCAGTTAGAGGTGACCAGGCAGGCAGGCAGGTGAGCGATTAGAAGCCAGCAGCTCAGGATTGTGAGAGGGTGCAGGCTGGGCTGAGGGGACCCCCCCCCCCGCCCCCCCTGCACGAATTTCGTGCACTGGGCCTCTAGTGATATATAAGGCACTGACAGGCACCATGGAGTCCTGGAAAGACGTTTGTGCTTTCAGGAGTTCATAATTGAAGAGGTGGCACAAACATAAAAGCCATTGCTTGGGCATAGTCTTTGATACTATGCTAATTGTTAAGGAAGTCCAAAATAATTACTTTGGAAGAAAGTTGGGAAAAGAATGTGCATCTAGGCAGAGTTTCTGAGTTAGAAGGGATTTATTTACTTATTTACTTATTCTCACACGAGGCTATTTTTTCCATTGATTTTTAGAGAGGGTGGAAGGTAGGGAGAAAAGGGGAGAGAGAGATAAAAAAAAAACATTGATGTGTGAGAAAGAGACACATTGATTGATTGCCATAGTTCAAACCTGCAACCCGGGTACATGCTCTGGACCGGGAATCAAACCAGTGACCCTTTAATGCAAGGGCCAGTGCTCTAACTATAGAGCAACACCAGCCAGGGCAAGTTTATCCAGTTTTTAAATTCTGAGATTCTAACCTTCCCACCTTTTCGGTGTTACAAATGTTACTTTTTTTATGAAATGATGGTTATAGTAAATAGCAACTGGTAATGTCCTTAATGTGACAATATAAAAAGTTCTCTGCTCCCCTTATGTCACAATTGGTTTATAAAATGAAAAAGTCTGAAACAGACTTTTGTTTCATTCTTGTGCTGCTCCTGGCTCAGAATCCTTTCTCTCTACTTATTACCAAGGAAATTTAAAAAAAATGTAGATTCATAAACACTTGTGATGGATATGGCTGACTTACATACTATCTCCTTGTTATATAACTTGTTAAACTGCAAAGGCTGGAAATCTAAAAACTGTTTTCCAGATTTTATTGCAGCTAGGAGTGAGTCTAATAAATTTTTTTTTAAAATATATTTTATTGATTTTTCACAGAGAGGAAGGGAGAGAGATAGAGAGTCAGAAACATCGATGAGAGAGAAACATCGATCAGCCGCCTCCTGCACATCTCCCAGTGGGGATGTGCCTGCAACCCAGGTACATGCCCTTGACCGGAATCGAACCTGGGACCTTTCAGTCCGCAGGCCGACGCTCTATCCACTGAGCCAAACCGGTTTCGGCCTAATAAATTTTGATGTATCAATAATTTGCACACCCAAGAGACTTGGAAAGTAGAAGTGAGGCAGGGGCCATCTCCTGGCTGCTTTGGCTGTTGCTGGCCAGCACAGTCATGGGATGTTGGGTTTTCTGCAGCAGTGCCCAGCATCCCTTCACCAGGCAACAGCCAATTCCTGGATCATAACTAGGGCAATATGAGTTTTTTTTGTTTTTGAATCCTCACCTGGGGATATGTGTGTTGATTTTAGAAAGAGGGGAGAGAGAGAGAGAGAGAGAGAGAGAGAGAGAGAGAGAGAGAGAGAGAGAGAGAGAGAGAAAGGAGGGAGGGAGGGAAGCAGATCAGTTGCCTCCCATATGCACAGTGCCCTGATCGGGAATCAAACTTACAGTCTTTCGGGATAGGGGACTATACTCCAACCAATTGAGCCACACTGGCCAGGGATAGGGCACTGTGTTCTTAAACTCAACAGTTTCAGCAATGAGTCTTCATCCCTCCCCTTTCTGAAGCTTCCCTGGTGGGAGGGTGTAGTAGTCTCATTCTTGGAGTCATTTCTGGGATACAGCAGAGACGCTGCTTCTCCAATCCCTCAAAGGATTTTTTAAAGGACCTATATCTCCATATTAAGGCATTTTCTGCTGAAAATAAAGTGCCTTCTGTTTACTTCAACCAAGCCCGATAGAATACCTGACTGGCAATAGTAAGTACATTGTCCCTTCTACACCGCTACCAGCCCCTCCTATACCTCTGCCTTCCCTTTTCCTCTTCTTTTCATAAATGCCAAGTGTAGTATAGTCTGGTGCTTTCATCCTTGGTCTTTCAAGGCCTTGTAGCTGTTCCTTGGGTCTCTAGAAAGAAACTTTTAAAAAAGTTTTTATTGATTGAGAGGAAGGTAGAGCGAGAGCAAGCGAGGGAGCGAGAGGGAAATATCAATTTGTTGTTCCACTTATTTATTCATTCATTGGTTGATTTTTGTATGTGTCCTGTCTGGGACCGAACCTACATTCTTGGCATACTGGAATGATGCTCTAGCAATTGAGCTACCTGACCAGGTCAGAAATAAAAAAACAACAACAACACATAATTATTATTTATTTATTTTTAAAATATGTTTTTAATGATTTTTAGAGAGAGTAAGGGAGAGGGAGAGAGAAACATCCATGAAAGAGAAAGATCCGTCATTTCCCTCCTGCACGCCCCTATTGGGGATCAAGCTTGAAACCTAGCCATGCACCATGACCGGGAATCAAATCAGTGACCTCTGTGTGCAAGGGACCATCCTCAACAAACTGAGCCACTGTCTGGGCCAGGGTCAGAAACTTAAAAAAAAAAATCCTATCTTATAATAGACAAACATGGTAATTAACCGTACTTCCAACATGTTTTCCATTGGCTAATCAGGGTGATACGCAAATAAACTGCCAACCAAGATGGCAGCCGGTAGCCAGGCAGCTGAAGTGAACAGGAGGCTTGCTTGCTCCAGTGATGGAGGAAGCCAAGGTTCCCCGCCTGCCGCTGCTGGCCTCTGAGCTGCACTCTAAGAAACAATGTTGCAATTATAGAAGCTAAACAAACCTTAGATACCTGCTTTCAGCCAGCCGGGCCTCAGAGCTGGAGTTGCAACAGTGTTTCAATTATAGAAGCCAAACAAACCCAGATGCCTGCTTTAAGCAGCTGAGGTCTCAGAGTTGGAGCCGAGCCTCAGAGCTAAAGCCAGCTCTCAGCTCCAGTGACAGCCATAGAAGGTAAATAAATCCCAGAATAAAAAAAAAAGAAAAAAAGGAGAGGTTGGAAGCTTCAGTCGCCCACCAGCCTGAAAGTGGCCCTCAGCCCCTCACCCAGACTGGCCAGGCATCCCAGTGGGGATCCCCACCCTGAAGGGGGTGTGACCAGCTGCAAACAGCCATCATCTCCTCATCCAGGGCTGCCAGGCACCCAAGTGGGACCCCCACCTTGATCCGGGACACCCTTCAGGGCAAACCAGCCAGCCCCCACCCATGCACCAGGCCTCTATCCTATATAGTAAAAAGGTAATATGCAAACTGACCCTAACAGCAGAGGACTGGGAATGACTGGTCACTATGACACATACTGACCGCCAGGGGGCAGACGCTCAATGCAGGAGCTGCCCTCTGGTGGTCAGGGCGCTCTCACATGGGAGGAGCTCTGCTCAGCCACAAGCCAGGCTGATGGCTGTCAGTACAGCGGTGGTGGTGGGAGCCTCTCCCGCAGTGCTAAGGATGTCCGACTGCAGTTTAGGCCTGCTCCCCGCTGGCAAGTGGACATCCCCCAAGGGCTGCCAGGCTGCCATCTTAGGCCCAATCCCCTGGGGAGCGGGCCTAAGCTAGCAGGTGGTCATCCCCTGAGTGGTCCCAGACTGCGAGAGGGCACAGGCCGGGCTGAGGGATCCTCCCTCCCCACTGAGTGCACAAATTTTTGTGCACCGGGCCTCTAGTGAAATTATATATATGTGTGTGTGTGTGTGTGTGTGTGTGCGTATATATATATATATATATATATATATATATATATAGTTGATTTTTTACAGAGAGGAAGGGAGAGAGATAGAGAGTTAGAAACATCGATAAGAGAGAAACATCGATCAGCTGCTTCCTGCACAACCCCTACTGGGGATGTGCCTGCAACCAAGGTACATGCCCTTGACCAGAATCTAACCTGGGACCTTTCAGACTGTAGGCCGATGCTCTACCCACTGAGCCAAACTGGTTAGGGTGGGTCAGAAACTTTTGATTATTATTTCACAAGACAGTGGAGGGTAGAAAGAGGAAGGAGCAGCTAGGCTCCAGGTGGGTGAGGATTTTCTCTAAGGTCAAAGATTCTATCTACCATTTCACTCAGTGTCTCATTTTCTTACCAATCAAGATGCCACTGGTTTATTTTGTCAAGAAAAGTCCAAACCTGTAGAGAATTTTTATAAGCATTTATTTGAGCCAAACTGACAACATATGCTGGGAGCAAGATAAAAAAAAAATGCTTCCCAAAATGACAGCTTTTCAACTTCTTTTGTATATTTAACATTAACTATGGAATTGTAACAAAGATTATATTGAAGTAGGAAAAAGCAAGGCAGGGATTGGATGACAGGAAGTTGACAAGATTACATATTCTCTTGAGGGTGGTTATGGTTTTATTTCAAAGGTGTGTTAACCTAGATGCACAGAGGCAATGGACAGGGCTTTCTTAAGGCAAAGATAAACCTTTACTAAAAAGTTATATGCCTGGGTGTGACTACCCACCATGACCTTCCCAGTTAGGAATTTATGATCAGATCACCCTCTGAGGTTACTTTCCATAGGGCTCATTTTTACATCCACAATTTTTACATGCTGGAGGGATTGGATCTGTGATTAGGAGCAATGGCAGGTTTTTGTTTTTGTTTTCTTCCTTAGACTTAGTGCTGGGCTCTAAGTTGCCTCAGAGACAATTTCTGCTTTGGCTTATTGAGCATCATCAACGGGAAAGTGACAGTGCTGTCAGTGTATGAATTATGAACCTAAAGATCATTTTGTACATTTCCACATAACTCATATAACATTAGGAATGTGGGTAAAAAATGGGGTTCTCTAGAAAGTAACATCACAGGGTGATCTAATCATAAATTCCTAACTGGGCAGGTCACGGTGGCTAGTCATGCTCAGGGATATAACTCCTCTAGTAAAAAGCTTATCTTTGTCTTAAGCAAGCCCTGGCCATTGTTCCTTTGTATCTAGGTTCACACACCTTTGAAATGCCTCTTTGCATATCCTTCCTTCTAAAGCAATGGTTCTCAACCTGTGGGTCGCGACCCCTTTGGCAGTCGAACGACCCTTTCACAGGGGTCACCTAAGACCATCCTGCATATCATATATTTACATTACGATTCATAACAGTAGCAACATTACAGTTATGAAGTAGCAACAAAAATAATTTTATGGTTGGGTCACAATATGAGGAACTATATTTAAAGGGTCAGAAGGTTGAGAACCACTGTTTTAAAGCATGACCACCCTCAAGAGAGCACATAATCTTAACTATCCTGTAATCAGACCCCCCACACATGATGTGTTCAACATAATAGATATATATATATAGAGAGAGAGAGAGAGGGAGAGGGAGAGAGAGAAACATCACTGATGAGAGAGAGGCATTGATCTGCTGCCTCCTGCATGTCCCCTCACTGGGATCAAGCTCGCAAGCAACTGCAACCTAAACCCAGGTATGTGCCCTCACCAGGAATCAAACCTTGACCTCCTGGTTCATAGTTTGATGCTCAACCAATGAGTCACGCCAGACAGAAAGCACATAATCTTAACCTGTAATCGGATTCCTGCCTTGCTTTCTCCCACCTTCCTATAATCTTCCTTATAGTTCCCTCCTTAATGTCAAATGTATAAAAGAAATTAATTTTCCCCAGCATTTGAAAGATCTTGCTCCCCAGTATATGCTGTCAGTTTGGCTCAAATAAATTCTTGTAAAATTGATAGGAACAAAGTGCACTTTTCTCTCATGAACACAATTGAAAATTTTCTCTTTTTTTTTAAACCCTCCCTCGAGGATGTGTTTCTTTTCTTTTCTTTCTTTCTTTCTTTCTTTTTTTTTTTTACAAACAGTAAGAAACACTTTATTATTAAGGAAGATCAAATCAATCTGGTTCTGAGTATCTGGGATTCAGGCCCACGGCTCTAACCTCACCCTTGTCCTCCTATACACACACACTGTCACCTGTCTCCGCCTGTACACAAACCCGGCCTCACTGAGACATAAGGGAAGGGAGTCCACATGCACTTTCTGACCAGCACTGGGAGGCCATTGTCACCGCCTTCGTTCAGGTTGACATCCTGGTTCCCGAAATTTTAGCAAAAGCATTTGATGGCTCAGGAAGGCCCCAAACCATAATGAAAGCATGTGCCCTAAAATAACCTGAATCCGAATGAGAATTCCCTGGTGAAGTGCCCACTGGGCCCTTCCAGGGCCACTGCACAGAAAGCGAGGTTGTTACCGCCCACGGCTCTGGGCAACTCTGTGCAGCGGGTGTTTGAGGACCTTCCCCTTGGCTTTACCCCATACAAACGTTCCCCTTCCTGACTCCTCGGGGCTTAGATCTGGATATCTACAATTTGATAGGGCATTTAGGTGACTGAAGGTTTGGACGGGAGACAGGAAAACATAATTAACCGCTTGTGTTCTAAGAGAAGCCAATCCCGAGTTTGGGTTCCCTTTAGAGGTACATGTCTGTCAGCGGGGCACTGCTCAGGTGCTCAGGAACCCACAGGTCTTCCTCACGCCGGCCTCCCGCACCCACTTGTTCCCACCTCCGGACTCACCAGCAGCAGATGGCTCTTCTCCGTTCTGAAACGCCAAAAGGGAAAGCCGAAACTCCCACAAGGGTCTCTCTACACAGCGTGGCACAGGACTCAGGATGTGTTTCTTCCTGATGAGAGAGAGAGAGAGATACAGAGAGAGATACAGAGAGAGAAACATTGATTCTTTATGTGCCTGCACTGGGGATGGAACCTGAAACCTAGATATGTGCCCTGACAAAGTGCACTTTTCTCTCATGAACACAATTTAAAATTTTGCAAGCAGTAAGAAACACTTTATTTTAACTTTACAACATATAAGTAGCTCGGGTCAAATCTGTGCTTTCTGGCAGCTGGGCATGTCTTCGCCCTTGCAGGCACCTGCCTTCCTTCACATTGCACTGTTCCTTGGGTGGCTCTGGCCCTGGGGCCCAGTGGTTAGGAGTTGGAGAGAGGGCCAGGCAGCCCAGTTCCATCTCCTCATGTAGTGGCCTGTGCCTGCCATCTGCTGGGGTTGCGGCTGGTGCGGAAGGACCGCTCCTCAGGGGTGAGGCCAGCAAAGAAGGGGTGCAGCAGGGCCTCCGCCAGTGTGATGCGCTGGGCAGGGTCAAACTCTAACATCCTCCTCATCAGGTCAAACAGCTGCACGTGCTCCGGGGAGTCTTGGAGCATGTAACTCTCCAGAGGTTTGTAGTTCTCCATCACATACTGGCCATCAGAGCTGTTCTCATCCCAAACCAGGGCCCCTTTGTAAAAATATTTCTGCTTCCTGGTACGGTGGATCATGTGTGATGGGATGGGCCCTAGGGTCTTCTCCATCATCACCAAATGCTCTGGGTCTTCGTGGGTCTGGAAAAGTGGCAAGCCCCGGTAGTACTCGAAGAGAATGCAGCCAATGCTCCAGACGTCACAGGGCTGTGCCCAGCCCAGCTCTAGGATCACCTCAGGTGGGCGGTAATAACGAGTGGCCACAATGGTTGTGTGATGCCCATGGTCAAAGGTAGCAGCGCCGAAGTCAGCAACTCGGATGCTGGAGTCCTTCACTGACCTCTCCTCACAGCCCGTGTGCTCATTGTAGATCGTTTCGAACTCAGAATTGACAAACAGGATGTTCTCTGGCTTCAAGTCTGTGTGGGTCAGTCGGTTCTCATGTAGGAATCTCAGGGCGTGGCAGAGCTGGTGGGCCATGTGCCGGACATGTGGTAGGGGGTAAGGCTGGAAATGATTCTCCTTCAGGAACTCAAAGGTGTTCTTGCCCAGGAGCTCAAAGGCGATGCACATGTGGCCGTGGAAGTTAAACCAGTCGTACATCAAGACGCACAAGAACTGGTTCTCTTTGTCCTTTTCCTTGATTTTTTGGAGAACATTGATTTCTAGTCGGGCAGCCTTCCGGTACTTGTCCACGTTGCGAATGATCTTCAGGGCAACCTGAGACTTCCCTCTGGCATGGTCCAAGCACTCCACCACCTTGCCAAAGGTGCCTTTGCCCAGGTCCCCCACAATCTCATATCGCTCTTGGAGCCAATCGCCCACCCGGCACAACAGGTGGCCCTCCTTGTCATCTTCCACGCTCCGGCTGCTGCACGTACTGCTCTGTTGGCTGCTCGAGGAGGCACTGCTACCAGACCTGGGGCGGCGTCTGTGGCAGTGGCAATGGCAATGGTGGGCATGTTTGCGAGTCCGGTACGGCTCTCTATCCCGGGACCGTGGTCGGTGATGGGAACGTGAAGACCCATAGTAGCCCTCTCCAAATGATGGGCTCCGCTCCTCACATCGGTATGTGGCGCTGTCACGGCGCTCCAGGTACCGCCTCTGGTAGGGTAAGCGGTCATGGCTTCTGGACCGAGATCTCCAGGGTGCAGGCTCCCATGGAGATGGGTAGCGCAGTCTCCCTTCGTGCTCCCGACTGTAAGGCCTCCTTCTCTTCCATCGGTAGCTCAGGTACGGGTGTGGCTCGGGGGAGCGGTATCGCTGACAGTGATGCATCGTCTCCCAGGCTCTGGCGGCGGCGACTAGCAACCGCCTGCGTTTTAAATATGCCCTACCCCAGTCTGGATTCCCTTCCGAGGTATGTGTCTCTCTGGCGGGCACAGAGCAGGCCCTCAGGAACACACAGGTCTTCCCTCACTCTGGCCTCGCGAACCCACTCGGTCCCATCTCTGGACTCACCAGGAGCAGACGTCTCTTGTCTGGTTCGTAGCGCCGAAAGCGAAAGGAGAACCTCCCTCAAAGCTCTCCCAGCCTAGAACAGTCTGGCACGGGACTGTGGGAGCCGTGACCTGACCCTGGTATATATACACCATTACCAGGACCGAGTTATTAACCACGCCCACCTACGTCCAGTGGCTCCGCCCCCAGGGGGGAGGGATGAACCAGAGTAAGAGGATTTTCAGTGCTTTCCTGAAGCCAGAGAGGATTAAGTGTTAATAAGCATGATCTAATTCGCCCCTGGTATTCTCTCTTGATCCTGCCACCATTTATATATTTACTTATTTTTTTGAATTCTTTATTAGTTAAGGTATTACAAATGTGTCCTCATCCCTCCCATTAAACCCCCATCCTACCCCCCCACCCCCACTCATTTTTTAAAAACACATTTCTGCCGAAGCCGGTTTGGCTCAGTGGATAGAGCGTCGGCCTGCGGACTGAAAGGTCCCGGGTTCGATTCCGGACAAGGGCATGTGCCTGGGTTGGGGGCATATCCCCAGTGGGAGATGTGCAGGAGGCAGCTGATCTATGTTTCTCTCTCATCGATGTTTCTAACTCTCTATCTCTCTCCCTTCCTCTCTGTAAAAAATCAATAAAATATATTTAAAAAAAAAACACATTCCTATTGATTTCAGAGAGGTAGGCAGAAGGAGAGAGAGACATAGAAACATCAATGATGAGAAAGAATCATTGATTTGCTGCCTCCTGCATACCCCCCATGGGGGATGGAGCCCACAGCCCTGATGCTGGCCCTGACGGGAATCCAACCAGTGACCTCTTGGTTCATAGGTCTGCACTTAACCACTGAGCCATGCTGGCGGGGCATTTATTTTCTTTTAAATCTCTAGGGTTGAGCCCTATCCGGTTTGGTTCAGTGAATAGAACCTCAGCCTGCAGACCTAAGGGTTGGGGTTCCATTGCAGTCAAGGGCACCTAGCTTGGTACTTAAAGTGATTAACTACCCGCCTGACATTTAGTTAAGGGGTTTTATTCCCTCCCTGACATCAGGGAACAATCCCTACCTGGAGAAACAACCTTTCTCAGAGAGGTGACCTTGGTTAAAACACATAGCGCCAAGAAGGTGCGCAAACATATTAAGAACAGTATGTCATAGACGCCAGGTCCCTTGAAACATATGCAGTGCAGATGTTTCTTCCCTGCAGTGACTGTGTCAAGTAGCAAGGATGGACCGGCTTCCGGCAATCTCCTTGTGAATATTGCCATGTATCCCCAGTCCGTGGCTAAAGCTGTTAAATAACTAAATACTGGCCTGGTCTCCATTAGGGACTGGGTGACTTTGGACCACCTGCTAATACTGTGTGTGGGTGGCTCTCTCGAGGCCGATTAAGGAAGATCCAATCAATCTGGTTCTGAGTATCTGGGATTCAGGCCCACGGCTCTAACCTCACCCCTGTCCTCCTTTACACACACATTCTCACCTGTCTCCGCCTGTACACATACCCGGCCTCACTGAGACATAAGGGAAGGGAGTCCACATGCACTTTCTGACCAGCACTGGGAGGCAATTGTCAGCCGCTTTGTTCAGGTTGACATCCTGGTTCCCGAAAGTTTAGCAAAAGCATTTGATGGCTCAGGAAGGCCCCAAACCATAATGAAAGCATGTGCCCTAAAATAACCTGAATCCGAATGAGAATTCCCTGGTGAAGTGCCCACTGGGCCCTTCCAGGGCCACTGCACAGAAAGCGAGGTTGTTACCGCCCACGGCTCTGGGCAACTCTGTGCAGCGGGTGTTTGAGGACCTTCCCCTTGGCTTTACCCCATACAAACGTTCCCCTTCCTGACTCCTCGGGGCTTAGATCTGGATATCTACAATTTGATAGGGCATTTAGGTGACTGAAGGTTTGGACGGGAGACAGGAAAACATAATTAACCGCTTGTGTTCTAAGAGAAGCCAATCCCGAGTTTGGGTTCCCTTTAGAGGTACATGTCTGTCAGCGGGGCACTGCTCAGGTGCTCAGGAACCCACAGGTCTTCCTCACGCCGGCCTCCCGCACCCACTTGTTCCCACCTCCGGACTCACCAGCAGCAGATGGCTCTTCTCCGTTCTGAAACGCCAAAAGGGAAAGCCGAAACTCCCACAAGGGTCTCTCTACACAGCGTGGCACAGGACTCAGGATGTGTTTCTTCCTGATGAGAGAGAGAGAGAGATACAGAGAGAGATACAGAGAGAGAAACATTGATTCTTTATGTGCCTGCACTGGGGATGGAACCTGAAACCTAGATATGTGCCCTGACAAAGTGCACTTTTCTCTCATGAACACAATTTAAAATTTTGCAAGCAGTAAGAAACACTTTATTTTAACTTTACAACATATAAGTAGCTCGGGTCAAATCTGTGCTTTCTGGCAGCTGGGCATGTCTTCGCCCTTGCAGGCACCTGCCTTCCTTCACATTGCACTGTTCCTTGGGTGGCTCTGGCCCTGGGGCCCAGCGGTTAGGAGTTGGAGAGAGAGGGCCAGGCAGCCCAGTTCCATCTCCTCATGTAGTGGCCTGTGCCTGCCATCTGCTGGGGTTGCGGCTGGTGCGGAAGGACCGCTCCTCAGGGGCGAGGCCAGCAAAGAAGGGGTGCAGCAGGGCCTCCGCCAGTGTGATGCGCTGGGCAGGGTCAAACTCTAACATCCTCCTCATCAGGTCAAACAGCTGCACGTGCTCTAGGGAGTCTTGGAGCATGTAACTCTCCAGAGGTTTGTAGTTCTCCATCACATACTGGCCATCAGAGCTGTTCTCATCCCAAACCAGGGCCCCTTTGTAAAAATATTTCTGCTTCCTGGTACGGTGGATCATGTGTGATGGGATGGGCCCTAGGGTCTTCTCCATCATCACCAAATGCTCTGGGTCTTCGTGGGTCTGGAAAAGTGGCAAGCCCCGGTAGTACTCGAAGAGAATGCAGCCAATGCTCCAGACGTCACAGGGCTGTGCCCAGCCCAGCTCTAGGATCACCTCAGGTGGGCGGTAATAACGAGTGGCCACAATGGTTGTGTGATGCCCATGGTCAAAGGTAGCAGCGCCGAAGTCAGCAACTCGGATGCTGGAGTCCTTCACTGACCTCTCCTCACAGCCCGTGTGCTCATTGTAGATCGTTTCGAACTCAGAATTGACAAACAGGATGTTCTCTGGCTTCAAGTCTGTGTGGGTCAGTCGGTTCTCATGTAGGAATCTCAGGGCGTGGCAGAGCTGGTGGGCCATGTGCCGGACATGTGGTAGGGGGTAAGGCTGGAAATGATTCTCCTTCAGGAACTCAAAGGTGTTCTTGCCCAGGAGCTCAAAGGCGATGCACATGTGGCCGTGGAAGTTAAACCAGTCGTACATCAAGACGCACAAGAACTGGTTCTCTTTGTCCTTTTCCTTGATTTTTTGGAGAACATTGATTTCTAGTCGGGCAGCCTTCCGGTACTTGTCCACGTTGCGAATGATCTTCAGGGCAACCTGAGACTTCCCTCTGGCATGGTCCAAGCACTCCACCACCTTGCCAAAGGTGCCTTTGCCCAGGTCCCCCACAATCTCATATCGCTCTTGGAGCCAATCGCCCACCCGGCACAACAGGTGGCCCTCCTTGTCATCTTCCACGCTCCGGCTGCTGCACGTACTGCTCTGTTGGCTGCTCGAGGAGGCACTGCTACCAGACCTGGGGCGGCGTCTGTGGCAGTGGCAATGGCAATGGTGGGCATGTTTGCGAGTCCGGTACGGCTCTCTATCCCGGGACCGTGGTCGGTGATGGGAACGTGAAGACCCATAGTAGCCCTCTCCAAATGATGGGCTCCGCTCCTCACATCGGTATGTGGCGCTGTCACGGCGCTCCAGGTACCGCCTCTGGTAGGGTAAGCGGTCATGGCTTCTGGACCGAGATCTCCAGGGTGCAGGCTCCCATGGAGATGGGTAGCGCAGTCTCCCTTCGTGCTCCCGACTGTAAGGCCTCCTTCTCTTCCATCGGTAGCTCAGGTACGGGTGTGGCTCGGGGGAGCGGTATCGCTGACAGTGATGCATCGTCTCCCAGGCTCTGGCGGCGGCGACTAGCAACCGCCTGCGTTTTAAATATGCCCTACCCCAGTCTGGATTCCCTTCCGAGGTATGTGTCTCTCTGGCGGGCACAGAGCAGGCCCTCAGGAACACACAGGTCTTCCCTCACTCTGGCCTCGCGAACCCACTCGGTCCCATCTCTGGACTCACCAGGAGCAGACGTCTCTTGTCTGGTTCGTAGCGCCGAAAGCGAAAGGAGAACCTCCCTCAAAGCTCTCCCAGCCTAGAACAGTCTGGCACGGGACTGTGGGAGCCGTGACCTGACCCTGGTATATATACACCATTACCAGGACCGAGTTATTAACCACGCCCACCTACGTCCAGTGGCTCCGCCCCCAGGGGGGAGGGATGAACCAGAGTAAGAGGATTTTCAGTGCTTTCCTGAAGCCAGAGAGGATTAAGTGTTAATAAGCATGATCTAATTCGCCCCTGGTATTCTCTCTTGATCCTGCCACCATTTATATATTTACTTATTTTTTTGAATTCTTTATTAGTTAAGGTATTACAAATGTGTCCTCATCCCTCCCATTAAACCCCCATCCTACCCCCCCACCCCCACTCATTTTTTAAAAACACATTTCTGCCGAAGCCGGTTTGGCTCAGTGGATAGAGCGTCGGCCTGCGGACTGAAAGGTCCCGGGTTCGATTCCGGACAAGGGCATGTGCCTGGGTTGGGGGCATATCCCAGTGGGAGATGTGCAGGAGGCAGCTGATCTATGTTTCTCTCTCATCGATGTTTCTAACTCTCTATCTCTCTCCCTTCCTCTCTGTAAAAAATCAATAAAATATATTTAAAAAAAAAACACATTCCTATTGATTTCAGAGAGGTAGGCAGAAGGAGAGAGAGACATAGAAACATCAATGATGAGAAAGAATCATTGATTTGCTGCCTCCTGCATACCCCCCATGGGGGATGGAGCCCACAGCCCTGATGCTGGCCCTGACGGGAATCCAACCAGTGACCTCTTGGTTCATAGGTCTGCACTTAACCACTGAGCCATGCTGGCGGGGCATTTATTTTCTTTTAAATCTCTAGGGTTGAGCCCTATCCGGTTTGGTTCAGTGAATAGAACCTCAGCCTGCAGACCTAAGGGTTTGGGTTCCATTGCAGTCAAGGGCACCTAGCTTGGTACTTAAAGTGATTAACTACCCGCCTGACATTTAGTTAAGGGGTTTTATTCCCTCCCTGACATCAGGGAACAATCCCTACCTGGAGAAACAACCTTTCTCAGAGAGGTGACCTTGGTTAAAACACATAGCGCCAAGAAGGTGAGCAAACATATTAAGAACAGTATGTCATAGACGCCAGGTCCCTTGAAACATATGCAGTGCAGATGTTTCTTCCCTGCAGTGACTGTGTCAAGTAGCAAGGATGGACCGGCTTCCGGCAATCTCCTTGTGAATATTGCCATGTATCCCCAGTCCGTGGCTAAAGCTGTTAAATAACTAAATACTGGCCTGGTCTCCATTAGGGACTGGGTGACTTTGGACCACCTGCTAATACTGTGTGTGGGTGGCTCTCTCGAGGCCGATTAAGGAAGATCCAATCAATCTGGTTCTGAGTATCTGGGATTCAGGCCCACGGCTCTAACCTCACCCCTGTCCTCCTTTACACACACATTCTCACCTGTCTCCGCCTGTACACATACCCGGCCTCACTGAGACATAAGGGAAGGGAGTCCACATGCACTTTCTGACCAGCACTGGGAGGCAATTGTCAGCCGCTTTGTTCAGGTTGACATCCTGGTTCCCGAAAGTTTAGCAAAAGCATTTGATGGCTCAGGAAGGCCCCAAACCATAATGAAAGCATGTGCCCTAAAATAACCTGAATCCGAATGAGAATTCCCTGGTGAAGTGCCCACTGGGCCCTTCCAGGGCCACTGCACAGAAAGCGAGGTTGTTACCGCCCACGGCTCTGGGCAACTCTGTGCAGCGGGTGTTTGAGGACCTTCCCCTTGGCTTTACCCCATACAAACGTTCCCCTTCCTGACTCCTCGGGGCTTAGATCTGGATATCTACAATTTGATAGGGCATTTAGGTGACTGAAGGTTTGGACGGGAGACAGGAAAACATAATTAACCGCTTGTGTTCTAAGAGAAGCCAATCCCGAGTTTGGGTTCCCTTTAGAGGTACATGTCTGTCAGCGGGGCACTGCTCAGGTGCTCAGGAACCCACAGGTCTTCCTCACGCCGGCCTCCCGCACCCACTTGTTCCCACCTCCGGACTCACCAGCAGCAGATGGCTCTTCTCCGTTCTGAAACGCCAAAAGGGAAAGCCGAAACTCCCACAAGGGTCTCTCTACACAGCGTGGCACAGGACTCAGGATGTGTTTCTTCCTGATGAGAGAGAGAGAGAGATACAGAGAGAGATACAGAGAGAGAAACATTGATTCTTTATGTGCCTGCACTGGGGATGGAACCTGAAACCTAGATATGTGCCCTGACAAAGTGCACTTTTCTCTCATGAACACAATTTAAAATTTCGCAAGCAGTAAGAAACACTTTATTTTAACTTTACAACATATAAGTAGCTCGGGTCAAATCTGTGCTTTCTGGCAGCTGGGCATGTCTTCGCCCTTGCAGGCACCTGCCTTCCTTCACATTGCACTGTTCCTTGGGTGGCTCTGGCCCTGGGGCCCAGCGGTTAGGAGTTGGAGAGAGAGGGCCAGGCAGCCCAGTTCCATCTCCTCATGTAGTGGCCTGTGCCTGCCATCTGCTGGGGTTGCGGCTGGTGCGGAAGGACCGCTCCTCAGGGGCGAGGCCAGCAAAGAAGGGGTGCAGCAGGGCCTCCGCCAGTGTGATGCGCTGGGCAGGGTCAAACTCTAACATCCTCCTCATCAGGTCAAACAGCTGCACGTGCTCTAGGGAGTCTTGGAGCATGTAACTCTCCAGAGGTTTGTAGTTCTCCATCACATACTGGCCATCAGAGCTGTTCTCATCCCAAACCAGGGCCCCTTTGTAAAAATATTTCTGCTTCCTGGTACGGTGGATCATGTGTGATGGGATGGGCCCTAGGGTCTTCTCCATCATCACCAAATGCTCTGGGTCTTCGTGGGTCTGGAAAAGTGGCAAGCCCCGGTAGTACTCGAAGAGAATGCAGCCAATGCTCCAGACGTCACAGGGCTGTGCCCAGCCCAGCTCTAGGATCACCTCAGGTGGGCGGTAATAACGAGTGGCCACAATGGTTGTGTGATGCCCATGGTCAAAGGTAGCAGCGCCGAAGTCAGCAACTCGGATGCTGGAGTCCTTCACTGACCTCTCCTCACAGCCCGTGTGCTCATTGTAGATCGTTTCGAACTCAGAATTGACAAACAGGATGTTCTCTGGCTTCAAGTCTGTGTGGGTCAGTCGGTTCTCATGTAGGAATCTCAGGGCGTGGCAGAGCTGGTGGGCCATGTGCCGGACATGTGGTAGGGGGTAAGGCTGGAAATGATTCTCCTTCAGGAACTCAAAGGTGTTCTTGCCCAGGAGCTCAAAGGCGATGCACATGTGGCCGTGGAAGTTAAACCAGTCGTACATCAAGACGCACAAGAACTGGTTCTCTTTGTCCTTTTCCTTGATTTTTTGGAGAACATTGATTTCTAGTCGGGCAGCCTTCCGGTACTTGTCCACGTTGCGAATGATCTTCAGGGCAACCTGAGACTTCCCTCTGGCATGGTCCAAGCACTCCACCACCTTGCCAAAGGTGCCTTTGCCCAGGTCCCCCACAATCTCATATCGCTCTTGGAGCCAATCGCCCACCCGGCACAACAGGTGGCCCTCCTTGTCATCTTCCACGCTCCGGCTGCTGCACGTACTGCTCTGTTGGCTGCTCGAGGAGGCACTGCTACCAGACCTGGGGCGGCGTCTGTGGCAGTGGCAATGGCAATGGTGGGCATGTTTGCGAGTCCGGTACGGCTCTCTATCCCGGGACCGTGGTCGGTGATGGGAACGTGAAGACCCATAGTAGCCCTCTCCAAATGATGGGCTCCGCTCCTCACATCGGTATGTGGCGCTGTCACGGCGCTCCAGGTACCGCCTCTGGTAGGGTAAGCGGTCATGGCTTCTGGACCGAGATCTCCAGGGTGCAGGCTCCCATGGAGATGGGTAGCGCAGTCTCCCTTCGTGCTCCCGACTGTAAGGCCTCCTTCTCTTCCATCGGTAGCTCAGGTACGGGTGTGGCTCGGGGGAGCGGTATCGCTGACAGTGATGCATCGTCTCCCAGGCTCTGGCGGCGGCGACTAGCAACCGCCTGCGTTTTAAATATGCCCTACCCCAGTCTGGATTCCCTTCCGAGGTATGTGTCTCTCTGGCGGGCACAGAGCAGGCCCTCAGGAACACACAGGTCTTCCCTCACTCTGGCCTCGCGAACCCACTCGGTCCCATCTCTGGACTCACCAGGAGCAGACGTCTCTTGTCTGGTTCGTAGCGCCGAAAGCGAAAGGAGAACCTCCCTCAAAGCTCTCCCAGCCTAGAACAGTCTGGCACGGGACTGTGGGAGCCGTGACCTGACCCTGGTATATATACACCATTACCAGGACCGAGTTATTAACCACGCCCACCTACGTCCAGTGGCTCCGCCCCCAGGGGGGAGGGATGAACCAGAGTAAGAGGATTTTCAGTGCTTTCCTGAAGCCAGAGAGGATTAAGTGTTAATAAGCATGATCTAATTCGCCCCTGGTATTCTCTCTTGATCCTGCCACCATTTATATATTTACTTATTTTTTGAATTCTTTATTAGTTAAGGTATTACAAATGTGTCCTCATCCCTCCCATTAAACCCCCATCCTACCCCCCACCCCCACTCATTTTTAAAAACACATTTCTGCCGAAGCCGGTTTGGCTCAGTGGATAGAGCGTCGGCCTGCGGACTGAAAGGTCCCGGGTTCGATTCCGGACAAGGGCATGTGCCTGGGTTGGGGGCATATCCCCAGTGGGAGATGTGCAGGAGGCAGCTGATCTATGTTTCTCTCTCATCGATGTTTCTAACTCTCTATCTCTCTCCCTTCCTCTCTGTAAAAAATCAATAAATATATTTAAAAAAAAACACATTTCTATTGATTTCAGAGAGGTAGGCAGAAGGAGAGAGAGACATAGAAACATCAATGATGAGAAAGAATCATTGATTTGCTGCCTCCTGCATACCCCCATGGAGGATGGAGCCCACAGCCCTGATGCTGGCCCTGACGGGAATCCAACCAGTGACCTCTTTGTTCATAGGTCTGCACTTAACCACTGAGCCATGCTGGCGGGGCATTTATTTTCTTTTAAATCTCTAGGGTTGAGCCCTATCCGGTTTGGTTCAGTGAATAGAACCTCAGCCTGCAGACCTAAGGGTTGGGGTTCCATTGCAGTCAAGGGCACCTAGCTTGGTGCAGACTCCTCCCCTTCCTGGGCCCTGGACAGGCCTGAGCGGGAGGCAACCAATGGATGTGTTTCTCTCACATCCTGGTTTCTCTAGGTCTTTCCCTCTCTCTTCGGTGCTCTAAAAGGCAATGAGATAATACCCTCAGGTGAGGATTGAAAAAAAACAAAAACATAGAGTGTTAATTTTGCTAGGCACAAACAGCAATCACTTGCTATTGAAAAGGTTAAAAAAACCTTGTTGATTGGATAAACTAATAGCCCTTAACCAGTGATAGCATTTCCAAGGCAGTTTTTTATTAAAAAATCTTTTAAGCCCTAACCGGTTTGGCTCAGTGGATAGAGCGTCGGCCTGCGGACTCAAGGGTCCCAGGTTCCATTCCCATCAAGGGCATGTATCTTGGTTGCGGGCTCATACCCAGTGGGGAGTGTGCACGAGGCAGCTGATTGATGTTTCTAACTCTCCATCCCTATCCCTTCCTCTTTGTAAAAAAATCAATAAAGTGTATTAAAAACAAAACACAACAAAAAACAAACAAACAAAAAATCCTTTAAGGCACTGATCTTAGCAGAAACCAAGTGGCTGAAATGACCTCCACAATATAAAAAAACAGTAAGGCAGTACCATGAATTTTTTCAACTCAGTTGCAAATTAACACACATTTGGAAGATTTCAATTCTTTATTACTATCATCTCCCTGTGAATGTCGCCATGTATCCCCAGTCCGTGGCTAAAGCTGTTAAATAACTAAATACTGGCCTGGTCTCCATTAGGGACTGGGTGACTTTGGACCACCTGCTAATACTGTGTGTGGGTGGCTCTCTCGAGGCCGATTAAGGAAGATCCAATCAATCTGGTTCTGAGTATCTGGGATTCAGGCCCACGGCTCTAACCTCACCCCTGTCCTCCTTTACACACACATTCTCACCTGTCTCCGCCTGTACACAAACCCGGCCTCACTGAGACATAAGGGAAGGGAGTCCACATGCACTTTCTGACCAGCACTGGGAGGCCATGTCAGCCGCTTTGTTCAGGTTGACATCCTGGTTCCCAAAAGTTTAGCAAAAGCATTTGATGGCTCAGAAGGCCCCAAACCATAATGAAAGCATGTGCCCTAAAATAACCTGAATCCGAATGAGAATTCCCTGAAGTGCCCACTGGGACCTTCCAGGGCCGCTGCACAGAAAAGCGAGGTTGTTACCGCCCACGGCTCTGGGCAACTCTGTGCAGCGGGTGTTTGAGGACCTTCCCCTTGGCTTTACCCCATACAAACGTTTCCCCTTCCTGACTCCTCGGGGTTAGATCTGGATATCTAAACTTTGATAGGGCATTTAGGTGACTGAAGGTTTGGACGGGAGACAGGAAAACATAATTAACCGCTTGTGTTCTAAGAGAAGCCAATCCCGAGTTTGGGTTCCCTTTAGAGGTACATGTCTGTCAGCGGGGCACTGCTCAGGTGCTCAGGAACCCACAGGTCTTCCTCACGCCGGCCTCCTGCACCCACTTGTTCCCGTCTCCGGACTCACCAGCAGCAGATGCTCTTCTCCGTTCTGAAACGCCAAAAGGGAAAGCCGAAACTCCCACAAGGGTCTCTCTACACAGCGTGGCACAGGACTCAGAATGTGTTTCTTCCTGATGAGGAGAGAGAGAGAGAGAGAGAGAGAGAGATACAGAGAGAGAAAACATTGATTCTTTATGTGCCTGCACTGGGGATGGAACCTGAAACCTAGATATGTGCCCTGACTGGAATCAAATTGGCAACTTATTATTTTTTGGTCTTTAAAACTCAAATTTTTATTTTATTTTTAAAATTAAATCTTTATTGTTGAAAGTATTACATATGTCCCCTTTTCCCCCCATTGACCCCTTCAACGTCCCCCCCCCCCCTCACCCCAGGCCTTCACAACCCTATTGCCTGTTTCCATGGGTTATTCATATCTGTATACAAGTTCTTTGACCACTTCCCACTTCCCTACCTTCCCCACCCTCCCTCGGAGGTTCAACAGTCTGTTCTATGCTTCTGTGTTTCTGGATTTAGTTTGTCCAGTTTATTTGTTCATTAGATTCCACATATGCGTGAGATCATGTGATACTTGTGTTTCTCTGACTGGCTATTCGCTTAGCATAATACTCTCCAGGTCCCTCCATGCTGTCTCAAAGGATATGAGATCCTTCTTTTTCACTGCTGCATAGTATTCCATGGTATAAATGTACCACAACTTTTTTATCTGCTCATCTACTGATAGGCACTTGGGATGTTTTCAGATCTTAGCTATGTAAATTGTGCTGCTATGAACATAGGGATGCATACATTCTTTTCTGATTGGTGTTTTTGGTATATTCCCAGAAGTGGGATCACTGAGTCAAATGGCAGTTCAATATTTAATTTTTGAGGACACTCCATGCTGTTTTCCATAATAGCTGCACCAGTCTGCATTCCCGCCAGCAGTGTACTAGGGTTCCCTTTTCTCCACATGCTCACCAGCATTTGTTATTTGTTGATGGTAGCCATTTGACAGGAGTGAGGGGATATCTCATTGTTGTTTTAATTTGCATCTCTCTGATGGTAGTGACTTTGAGCATTTTCTCATATGTCGCTTGGCCATCAGTATGTGCACTTTGAAGAGTGTCTATTTAGGTCTTTTGCAAACTGGCAACCTTTTGGTTGCACAGGATAATGCTCTAACCAACTGAGCCACAGTGGCCAGGACTGAAAATATTCTTAAAATCTTTCCTTGCCCTTTGGCATAAGCAACTTACACCTTATGCT